CATGGTTAGGTGTCTCTCCCTGCACGCGCCCCCCCCCCACTCCCCTAAGACTAGGGCTCCCTGAGTACAGGGTCATCATGCTCTCCTTCCTTCAGACTCTTGTCATAAGGACAAGACTCTTTCCCCTCCTCCTGCCCCTCCACCCACACAGCCCCCCAACCTGGGGTACAACACTCTGCCCCCAGCCCCCAAAAGCGGGACCCCGGACCAGACCGGGCCCCCACCCCCTTCTCTCCCTTCTGGAGTTCCTCCAGGCCTAGCCCGTACCAGGCAGGCTACCCTGCCCCCAGGCCTGTCCATGAATCCCACCTCTGTTGGGCACCACAGACCCCCCTTTCTCCTCCCCAAACAAATGGGGTCTTGAGCGAGACACTGGAACAACCACGCACAACGCCAGATCTATTCCCTGGCCTCGCGTGGCTGCCAGCAGTGGGGGGGCGGGGTGGGGAGGCATCCAGGCTGGGAAAGCAATCTATTCATTCCACAGCCCCTCGAGGTCCAGCCTCTGAAACTGGGGCCACTCTGAGCCCCATCCTGGGACCCACAGCCCGCTCTCTGGGTAACCCCAGAGCAAGCCCATCCCAGGAGCCTCAGTGTTCCCGCCTCTCTCCGGTCACACGCAGGCAGAGCCTCTGAGCCTAGGTCCAAACCTGCTCTGTTCTCTGCACAGGACTTCCCCAAACCTGAGGATGGCACTTGTCAAATGGCTTTAATAACCCCACTCTGCATGGGCTGCTGTGACTGGGAAGGGGTTAAGGACAGGAATGTCCCTACACACAGATGGTACTCAGTAAAAATCAGTTTCCTTCTCTTTCCTCTTTGAAATCCCTCTCTCTCTCTCTCTCTCTCTCTCTCTCTCTCTCTCTCTCTCTCTCTCTCTCTTTGGGGGGGGGGGGGGAGAGAGCAGGGATGGAGGGGGCTAGTGGGGCAGAAAATGGCTTGTCCCAAGCTCTTAAAAAGTCCCTTATTCAGAAGTCAAAATCTCAGATCCCTCAAGCGTGGGCAGTGGGGCCTTCCAGGACTGGGGTGATTCAGCAAAGGCTGTTTTTCCACCTTGGGGAGGCAGGGGAGGCGGGGGAGGCGGGGGGAGGCGAGGAGGGGGGGGGCGGAGGCAGGGGCATGGGGGTGCTTGGAGCCAAGCCTGCAAATCAAACCCCAAAGTCCACTGCCTCCCAGAAGCCCGCCAAGATCATTAAGCCAGCCAAGACATTACTCCCATTTTACAGACAAATAAACTGAGGCACAGAGTGGTTAAGTAATTTACCTAAGGTCACACAGCTAGTGAACTAATTTGACAGTTCAGGCTGTTACCAAAGCTCTTCCTTAAGAGGTTTTCTGTGGTTTCATCTGTGTTCAGAAGAAAGTCCAAACTCCGGCTTGCAAGGCCAGGCCTCCCGCTGGGCGGTGTTGTGCAACAGAGAAGGCGGACAATCTGGAGCCAGGCCAACCTGGGATCAAATGCTCACCCTGCCACCTACTTCCAGCTGCGTGTCCACAGGCAGTTTACAAGCCTCCCGGGCCCTGCATTCCCATAAAGAGTGGGATACATTCACTATATATTGAAATACATATTTACTGAGCATCTATTATGTGCCGCGCCCCATTCAAGGCACCTGGGATAGAGTAGAGAACAAGACAGGAAAAAAACTCCTTCCCTCCTGGAGCTGATAATCTACCTTGGTGGGTGGGTACGTAACAGGCACATAAACAAAATGGCATGTGGTGGTGTCAGGGACTACCAGGAAACAGAAGGAAGCTCAGATCACACAGAGTGGTCAGGGAGGGCCTCCCGGAGGAGGTGGTAATGAACCAAAACGGGAGACAGCCAGGCCACACGTCCAGCAAGCAAAGAAGGAACAGAGCCTCCTGCACAAGGAACAGCACGCGTAAAGGCTGGGAAATTAAGTGGGACCCAGAGCACAGAGGAAAGCGCCTGGCACACAGCAGATGCTCAATAAAGAGCGGCTATTGGCATTATTGCTATCAAATCTCAAGCTCCTCCCACCCACTGTCTTCTCCTGGAAAATGGGATACTGCGCAGATTCAGGGGACTCCTGGGTGTCTTTCGCAAATATGAATTCATTTAAAGCAATGCTCGCTCCACTGCTTTTCCCTCCACTTCGCAGGTGGGGAAACTGACCCTCCCAAGATCCCACAGGCCATACATGGCAACATCAGGATGTGAGCCTTAGTCTTATCATCCCAGACCCTATGCTCCTGCCAGCCTTCCGTGGTCTCACTGTACACAGACACTCACTACGTCTCCCCACCCATCCCAAGGCAGCGCTCACTGCTAACCGTCTCTTCTTGGGGTGAACTGAGGTCTGTGCCTGGTTGGTCCACCTCTGCCCTTTGATAGCCCTCTTCCCTAGCTCAACCTGACATGTAAAGAAGGTGGGATAGAAGGAACAGCCATGTTGTAGGCGGTTTGGCTCACTGGATAGAGCGTCGGCCTGCATACTGGAGGGGTCCCGGGTTCAATTCTGATCAAGGGCATGTACTTGGTTGCAGGCACATCCCCAGTAGGAGGTGTGCAGGAAGCAGCTGATGGATGTTTCTAGCTCTCTACTCCTCTCCCTTCCACTCTGTAAAAAATCAATAAAATATATTTTTTAAGAAAGAAGGAAAGAAAGAAAGAAAGAAAGAAAGAAAGAAAGAAAGAAAGAAAGAAAGAAGAGCCATGCCTCAGGAAGCACCTCCCAGGTACCAGGCCCTGTGCACTAACTTTATTCCCTGCTTGAGGTGAAATAGGAATTCTTATCATCCCCATTGTACAGAAGAAGAAACTGAGGCCGAGAAAGACAAAGGAATGTGCCCGTGGCTATCCACCTAGAAAGTAGCAGGATCCGAACCAGATCTCTGTCACTCAAAAGATGGCCACCCATCACTCCCCAGGGCCCTCCAATGCCCCGCTTTGGGCCTCCTTTCTGTCCCTGGCCTGGCCTGGCCCCTGGTGGTGTCATGGAGGCCGATAGGACTGGCTTTCCCCTGCATCTGTTCCTCCCAAGGCACCAGCACGCTGTGTGCTGTGAAGAAAGCCAGAAGGCAGGGGCTCAGGCAATGCCCACTGGGTTCAAGTGCACACACAGGGCCGTGGAGCAAGCAGGGGGGAACACGCGACAGGATCCGGTCACGCCCGGCCCATCCTGGCTCCGCCACCAAGGAGCTGCGGGACCCTCCGGAGGCCCTCCTCTCCCGCCTGCTTCCTGCTGCCACGAGACCAGCTCAGGAAGGGCACGCACACGAAGGCAGGTCTCTGATGAGCAGGCACTGCTCTCCCCCCAGGGCATGCCAGAACATCCTTTCAAAAACCCGCTTCAAAAGGAATTTTGATCGCGGTGGCCACTTACTGAGAGTCTGTTAAGTGCAAGAAGCCACACCAAGGGCATCACATACTTTATCCCAAGGGACAGCGACCTGGAGAGGCATGTACATCTCCATTTCACATGTGGGGAAACTGAGGCGCAGGGCTTGGCAGCTGTAAGTGCTAGAGTCAGATGACTCTGAATGGGAGGGTAGCAGAGGCTCCCGGGGAGGATGGGGGGAGGGGAATGAGGCCTGGTGAGCTGGACATCTGGGGGAGGCAGGTGCCCCAGGGTCAATCCCAGTCCCAGCGTGGGCCCACTGTGTGACCTCAGACAAATCGCCTCCCCTATCTGATACCTCGAAGGCAGGCACCAAAGCCAGGCTTCCCAGAGCACAGCACGGGTGAAGGCAGTCGTGGGGGGTGGGGGGCAGGAAGGAGGATGCATCCGGGTGGGACTCATACGTTCAAAAGCCCGGAGGCCGGAGGGCTCCAGGAGGCAGAGGCAGAGAAGTTGGCCGCAGAAGTGAGAAGAAAGGACAGACAGAGGGCACCTTGGGAGGAGGGACAGTGACGGTGCAACAGGGTCCAGTCCAGCCACGTGACAGGCAGGAAAGCACTGGATGTGGAGATACAACTCAGCCCACCCACTGCACCCCCCCTCAGCCCACGTCAGCCTGTGTCCGCCACACCAACTCACAGCAGCAGCCACTCCCCCGTCACACCCCCACTGTCCTCCTGGAGCCCCCTCACCCTTACCATCCCTGCACCAGCCCCTCCAGAGCCCCAGCCCTTTCCTGAGGACCTCAGCACCTCAGCAGCCACAGCCCCCCACGTGGGGACCATCACAGCTTAGAGACGCATCTCCCTCTCCCTAGCAACCACCAACACCCAGGCCAGGCTGCAAGCCTCCTTCCTCCCTGTCTCCTCGTCTCTCCATGGAGACCACAGTGCCACAGAGGCGGGTCCTCTCCGCGTCACTCAGCAACCGGCAGGACAACAGCTCCCTCCACGTGGCCGCCACCGACACAGCCTCAGTGACAGCGACAGCCTCTGCCGCTCCTCTCCGGGCAGCCACGGGCCCAGCCAGGACAGGAGGGCCCCTGCAGGCCTGCCCGCCGGCCCGGGGCCCAGCCGGCCCTCCCTGCCGCCTCCACACACACAGGCCACCGGATCGGGCAGGGACTGATTCTGCCGGGCGTTTCCCCGGCTCCCAGCTCACTCCCAGGCCCTCAGGCTGCCCCTCCCCATCACAGGAAGGCCCCCCCTGAGGGCGAAGAGGCCATCTCCTCCCAGGCTGGCCCGGGAAGCCAGTCCCTCACCCCCACCCGGTGCACAGATGCCCCCGCCTGCAGCAGGCCGGCCTGGCCTGCTGGGTCTCAGCTGGGAGGAGCGGCGGGACTGGGGTGCCTGAGCCAGCAGCCGGCAGCGGCTCCCTCCCCAGCCTCCCGGTGGACCGGTCCCAGCCCCCAAAAGGCCTGCCACTCTGCCAGCTGCCTCACGGGCCCTGGGGAAGGGAAGCTGAGGAGGGGCGGCGGGTCGGGGTGCCCGCAGCTGGGGGCAGGGCTGGGCAAGGCAGGAAGGGACAGACAGTGGGGCAGAGGCTGGCCCGCATCACGGGTTGGCAGGGCCAGGTCATGTGAGCCGGGCTCACCTCCATCCACACTCACACGCTCGGGAGGGACCTTGTCCTTACCAGCCGTCTGCGGAGAGAGGGGACCCCTCCGGCCAGCGAGGCTCTGCTCCCGGCCCGGTCTCAGGGAGGTCCCCGCAGCAGCAGAGGTGGCAGCAGCAGTGGCAGTGGGTCTCCGGTCCTGGCCCAGCTCTGGCGGCAGCAGCTCCTCACCCAAGTCCTCTCCTGTGGAGGCGAAGGGAGAAGGGGGAGGGAGGGAAGGAGGGAGGGAGAGGAGAGCAGGAGAGGGAGGGGACAGCAGGAGGGAGGGAGGGAGGGAGGAGGGGAAAATGCTGAAGTCTTGAAGGGTACACTCACTTCTTTCTTAGGTTTCCCATGGCAACCGAATATACCACAAATGAATATCAGTGTGAGAGAGGGAGGAGACAGAGGGAGGGAATGGAGGGAGATGGAGGCAGAGATGGAGAGAGATAGAGGCAGGAGATGAGGAGATTGCGGGGGGAGGGAGATGGAGAAAATGATGGGGCAAGAGAGATGGAGGGAAAGGGCCTCGGGGCCCGGATGGAGAGCTGGGGCTCCCCATCCTACCCCAGGGATTCAGGGGGAGGGGAGGGGCCGGAAGCCACAGGGCTTCTTTTAATCCCTCCACGGCTTCTTGGGCAGAGGAGCAAGCAACAGATGGATGGATGTTCTGAGAGCCACAGGGCCCTCACCCCGCCCCACCCTCCACCCCATGTCCTTCACTCCCTGCTGGGCCCCAAGCCAGAGTCCCAGCCCCACCCCTCGCTTGGTCATGAACACACACCAGGTGGGGTGGCCATCCACACCCTCACCCTGCTCTGATGCCCAGTGCCCACACACAGAGCCCCCCCCCTCCGGTGCCCAACCACGCCCCCCTTCTGCCCATCGCCCCAACAGCAACACGGCCCGTCTTGCAGGGAGCAGGCCCGTCTCCCAGCGCATATTCCTGCACCCCCTCCCGCGTGCCCACCGCCTGCGCCCCACTCCCCACCATATGCGCTCACATACCCGAAGAGCAATGGGCCTGCCCGACCTCCACCTGCCCAGGCTCACTCCCGGACAGACGTGCCTGGCGGGGCCTTCCCTCCATCTGCGCGCACACGTGCACACCACGCGCTCATCCCCGCCCCTCGGAGGCCCCTCTCTCAGTCTGGCCCTGCACCCCCTCCCTCCCCAGCCCAGATGGTCCTCCTGGTCCTCCCCATCAGGCAGACGCTCACACCTGGGCGCCTCGGCATGGCCATTCAAAAGCAGGCGCAGACCCACCGAGCTGGCAGCCGCTGCCACAGCTCAGACACGGGCCCTGCGCTGCCTCGGCTCCAGACCTCTACCCAGAGGAAGAAAACAGCCCAGCAGCAGGCGTGCTCCGGGAAAGGGCTCCCGGCCCGAGAGGGTCACTGCTCCCCCTCCCGCCCCAGCTGCAAGGCTCACACTTGACCCTGAGCCCTGTGGCCAGCAGGGACAGGACAGCACCCCAAGGACCACACACATCCTCACACACAACCTGTACCCACAGGACAGCAACCAGCACACCAGACTTTCACACGCGCTCAGACACACAGGGGCACACAGCCCCCCATCCACTGCGCACAGCTGCCCACAGAGCCCGGACACAGGGGGCCCACCTCAGCACACGGGCCCACACGGGTGTGCCGACATGCCTGGGAACCCTGCACACACACACGGTGACACGCTCATGGAAACACAGCGGGCCACCCAACGCACACAGCTTTCACCCTATGCACCCACACACACCTGCCCGCGGACAAAGGGGCCCCTACACAGCTCATGGGTTGACACATCCAGGCCCCAAGCATGCCCATCCCAGGATGAGCTCCCCGCCCTCCAGCGCACACGTGGCCACACCTGCACACCCGCACAGTGCGCCCAGGTGGGTCCCCAGCCACGTCCCCTCCACCCCATCCGGTGCACACCCACCCCATCCCGTACACACCCACCGGGCACACACATCCTCGCTGCGATCGCTCCTGGTCGCCCCGGTCCGCAGGCAGGCCAGTCCCTGCCAGGACCCGCCGGCCCCCGCCCCGCACCCGCGGGTTTACGATCCCCGCCCCGCGCCGGGCCCAGAGGCCGTGAAATTGGCTGCGAGCGTCGGGGGATGCGGCTGCGAATCCTAAGCACAGGGAAGCAGGGCGGAAACCCGGGCTGGCCGCGGGCGGGGCGTCGCGGAGCCGAGCTGCGGGCAGCGGGACTGGGAGCCCGCAAGGGCGGGCGCCCCCGGAAGGGGCTGTGCGCGCCCCCGCTCCCGCCGCGCCCCTGCAGCCCCCGCAGCTCCCGCCCCGCCTGCCCGGCCCCCTCCTCCGGCCCAGCCGCCTGCACCAGCCCAGCCCGGACTGTGTGCGCCTGGGTGCACCGCTGGCCCAGCCCCGGACGCCTACTGGGGACGGACGGGCACACCCCGCTGCCCTGCAGACCGGGGCACGCCTTGGCCAGCGCTCTGCGACTCCGCGCCGCCTCCTCCGGGCCGCCTTCCCGGCTTTCCAGCCTCCCCCCTCCGACGTCCCTCCGCTGGCCTGGCCTCCGCTCACACGCACAGCCGCAGGCTCAGCCACACCCGCGGCCTCGCAGCAAAGAAAGGGAGAGGGAAGGCGTCGCTCCGTCCAAAGATGCAAGACGCTAGAGTCTCCCGTCCCCACCGCGCTGCATGCCTCTGCCGGCTGCGCGGCCTTGAACCCTCGTCCGCAGACTCTGTCTGCCTCAGTTTCCTCATCCACTCCACAGGAATGAGGTAGAGGATCGATCTGAGAAGTGCATGAGGGACTCTCTGGACGGGCCTGGAGCAGCAGCCAGCGGAGCGGGACGCTTATTAGTCAGGATTAGTCAGTATCGGCCTCCCTCTGGCTGCTGTGTCACCCAGGACAAGGCGCCTCGCTTCTCTGAGCTCAGGCTCCTCTGGCAAACGAGGGGGCGGGTGGGCGGAGTCCAGGAGATGGCTGGGAACATAGAGCAGCCTCCTCCGCTGCCAGACAGCCAGCAAACATGGGTGAGCTAACCTGGAGATGCATTTTTAACATGCAGATTCCTGGGTCCTACTGAATTAAAGTCTCCGCAGGCAGGGCCCAGGAACCTGCATTTAACAAACACCCAGAGACTCTGGGGAATCCCTGACGAGGAAGGATAATGCGTCATTTCTCTGTTCAGAGTTTGTGGTTTTCTAGGGCTGATCCCCAAACCACATTCCAAGTCTCATCTTCCCAAAATCCACGTCAGGCTTTCGGACCTCCGGACCTCAGCTCCTGTGTTCCCTGGCCCTGGCCTGCCCCCCGCCAGAGGCCCTCGGACCTCTCTCACAGGCCTCCGGCCAACGTTAAACCAGATCAGAGAGTGTTCCGCCCCGCGCCTGGCAAACAGCAGGCGTGCGATCAAGGGAGACCTGCAAAGCCCCCAGCAGGAGCGGTTCCGGCCTCTCCACCCCGCAGAGCCTGGTCCGCATGTGGCCTCCGGCCCGCAGCATCCGCCCCACCTCCCAGGGGTCACAGACCACAGACAACCACCGTCAAGCAAGCCTGACTGTGGGCAGGCCCCACGCTGGGCACTTGGCAAGAATGTCCCCTCTCTCCTCCCGGACAGGAACTCACTCCCCCCTGCAGGTCCTGCCTGAGCCCCCAGCACAGAAGCTGCCCCGGGTGAGAAGAATGTGAGGGTGTAGATAGAAGGCAGCTGTTCCACAAATACAGCCTGAGCCTCTACCTGTATGGAGCCGGGAGAGACAGACAGGAAATGCAAGCAGAGCCAGCCCCTCCCCTCCCCCTGGCCGTGAAAAGGTCAAGGAAAGGAGGGAGAGGGGCATGCCAACCCCACAGCCTCTTTAGCCCCAAGATCCAGGGAGACTTCTGGGAGGAGAGAGATGATAAAGATAAGCCAAAGAGGGAAACTGAGTCAGGCCTGTGTCCAGAGCAGAATGGGTCAGAGAGCCCTTGGAAACTGCTCCTCACTTTCCCACTGAGAGAAGAGAAACACACACAGTCACCCGCACAGCGACGTACCCTGCCTCCCCCTCCTCCCCGTCGGCACACTTCAGCTGGGGGAGGGGCGGCTCCTGGGCCCTCCCTCCTCCAGCCTCCTCAGCCCCCAGCCCTGCTCCAGGACACAGGTTCTGTGCACTTCAGGGGGTGAAAGTGAAGGCTGAAAAAGAGGGAAGGAAACATATCTCGCACGCGCACACACACACACACACACACACACAGCCCAAGACCCACTCCTGGGAACCAGGAACGGATCTAGGAGACAGATGGGAAGGGGGCGGGAACTCATCTCATTGACACCTACTATGTGCCAGACACCATGCTACACACTCGGTATCTATCCTCTTACATAACCGACATACAGGCATTAGGAATGTGGGACCGTGAGCCCCACTGTATGTGGAGGAAGCAGGGCCCTGGGGAAGGGGAAGAAGTGGACTTACTTGCCCAGGACATACTTCAAGGAGGAAATAAGGCTGAACTTGGACCCTGCGCCCTGCGCCCTGCCCTTCCTAGGAGGGAGACAGGGAGAGTGTGGTGCAGTGGTCCCGCAGCCACAGCTGAGCCCACCAGCGGCTCGGGGCCTGGAGAAGGTGGTGACCCTGAAGCAGCATCCCCTCCATCCCCCAGGGGAGCCCCCACAGAGAGCCCCGTGTGCCCAGCTGTGCCGGTGCTGTGGGGCCAGGGAGCAGGTCGCTGGACGGTGACGGATCACTGTGGCCAGAGGGGCGAGGAAGGAACAGGGAGAGGCCCCAACCTTAGACACAAGCATGCCGCGAGTTTGACACGCTCGCCCTAGCCTTTCAGCCTCTGTCCCTCTGTCCCTCTGTCCCTCTGTCCGGGGAGCCACCACCACACCCCCTGCTTCCCACTGACAGATGAGCAAAGCAGGCCCAGAGAGGCCCCTCAGGGAGAGCACCCCAATATGGAAAGGTCCGGGGGGCTGTGGGGGATGAAGTTCAGGACTAACGACTGAAGCAAGAGTCCCACCTGCCCAGGGGCTCCTGGTCCTGGCTCCACAGCCGTGTGGCTGAGCGGGTCTGGAGCCTCTTTCTCCTCTGTGCAGTGAGGACTAGAGATGCTGCTCGGAAGCTTGGGGGATTCCCTGAGTGACCCCCACAAAGGCCTCTGCACCAGGCCTGGCTCGCAGACTCGAGGAGTATTAGCTAATATCTTCATTGTTATCATCACTCTCATCATTGCCATCAGCAGCCAGCCCGCTGCCTCTGCACCCCGGGTGTGGTGTGCGCGGGCCCAGGTGGCTCTCTGGAGCCCCCCTGGGGACTGTCTGCAGAGCCGAGGGGGGCGGGGCGGAGGAGGAAGATCTATTGTCCCAACCCCCCAAAGACACATCCCCAGGAACAGGGGCGGTGCGCTGCCCCAGGTGCTGACTGAGCAGGAAGGGGCGGGCTGGGGCCTCAGGAGGCTGGGGACTGGGTTAGCCGGCGGGACTATGAAGGCTGCCCCTTGTTGAGGAGGCTGGGCTTCCAGGCAATCCTGCTGCCTGCTGCCTGCTCTGCACAGCACGCTGGGGAGGGAGGGAGGGGCAGGAGGAGGACCTGGGCCCAGGGCCGCTGTCACTGCCGTGGTGAGGGTAACGGCGATGGGTGTCATGCTGGCCCTGCACGTGGATGCCACGCTCTCACACTCACTCATCAAACCTGCAAGGCAAGCAGCGTGGCCCTGCAGTCAGGAGAGGCCGGGCCCCTTGTCACACACAGGACAAATCAAGAGTGTCACTGGAACCGGTTCTGCAGGCCTCGGAACTGGTAGCCCCCAGTGACCACCTCAGACCGACCCCACTAAAGAAGGCTTGGGAGCTGGATGCACCCAGGTCTGTCGCCCTGACTCCCTCTGGGAGAACAAGCAAGCTCTGCATTCGGGGTCAAGGGCGGCCTCTCTCCCCTCCCCCCCAGGCCCTCACCCTGGCACCTCCCACCCCACCCCCACGTCACATAGTTCCCTGCCCCTCCGTAAAGTGGGGTTGCCCTGCTGGGAATGAGCTGCCAATCAAATGGGTGTCCCAGCAGCAGCTTACTTTACCCTCCAGCCCTCAGTCTGCTCATCTGTCAAATGTCCACATCACAGCGGCCAGCTGCCAGCCTCACTGCTGTGAGGATCCAAAGAGAGAAAAGAAAGTTCTTCACAAAGTCAGACTCAAAACTGGGGGATGGGGGGCGGGGCGAGAGGGAGGGTTGGGGGGGCGGGGAAGCAGGGATGGAGCTCACACAGACAGAGCCCCATACGTGCCAGGCGCCCGGCCCAGAGACCACTGCCTCCTGGAGTCCCCCCAGGTCACAGGGGAGGAGCTGGGGCTCAGGGGGGGGGGGGGGACAGGAATGCCTAAAGCACAGACCACATGGGATCAGGACCTAAAGTCCCTGTTGTGGCCACTTTCTGCTGTCACATGCGCTTACACGCGCACACATGCACGCACACACATACACACGCACCCAAGGGTCAGTGCAACGTGGCTGACAAGGCCCGGAGCAGGCACTGGTGGGGGCGCAGACATGGGAGAGGAAGAGGAGACACCCTACAAGGGCAGAGGCAGTGCACTATGAGGGGGCAGGAGAGGAAAGGGGTCCCACACCCACTCAGGAAATGAGGCCTCTTGGGAGGACCCACTTGCTCTAAAGCTCCCCTCCACCCCCTCACCACACGGGAGGCAGGCCCACACCCAGCCACACACACACAGACCCCTCCCACTGACATCACAGGCTCCGGCCGGCAGGGTGACCCTCACGCTGCCGTCCCGGTGACGTCACTGGCAACCTGGAGCTGATGTCGCAACCAGAGGTTCTCACTGACGTCACACACACACACGCTCCCCCCCCCCCGTGCCCCCCTCCGATCACGCCTCGTTCTTCCTGCCCAGGTCCAACGGCCCAGAGGTCCCCACCCCCATGCACCGCTCACTCCGCACACAGCTCACTCAGCACACAGGGCAGGCGTTGACGGACAACACCTGTGTGTTAGTGTGCTTGTGTGTGCGTTCCTCTCACAGGACACACATGTACACACATGTGCAGGCCCTCCTGCCCTGCAAATGGCCAGGACACACATCCCACAGGTGCCCACAGGCACAGGCCACGGGTGCAGGTGTGGGAGCCGGGCACACACACACACACACACACACGCTGACACACCGTTCAGCTCCCAGATGAAAACGCCCCTTGGTCCCTAAGGCGGCCCGGCCTCCATGACTCCCTCCAGGTGCTGCCAGCGCCCTCTCCTCCCCGAGCTTTGCTCCCGCAGCCTGGCCTGCTGACAGCGACAGCGACAGCCCAGACACACACACACTCAGGGCAACACCTGTGTCTCGGGGCACGGGGCTCAGGCAGGGCCCCCCAGAGGCAGCCGCGGGCGGGGCGGGAGGAGGCCAGGGGGAGGGGCATCGCAGGAAGCCCGGAGCTGCAGAAAGTGCCCTTAAGTACCACGTCTCCTCCCTCTCTCCCCTCAGCTGAGAGGGAGCGGAACACCACCCTATTCTCTCCTTTGGCCCGACTGCAGCCTGGCCTGGCTGCCTCCATCCCAGACACAAACTCCCTGATGCCCCCCACGCACACCCAGCTCTCTTTCCTCCCGGCATTCCAAGGAAGCCCTGCTGGGCCTCGGACTGTGTGTGTGCCTGTGTGTGTGTGTGTGTGTGTGTGTGTGTTTCTGTGTGTGTGTGTATGTGTGTGTGTTTGTGCCTGTGTGTGTCCGCACAGAGAGAGAGGGGTCCACCCTGCACACACATCCCTCCCCACGTGCACACAGCGCCCCACCAGCCAACACGCCCACCCCCTGCCCCCTCCTCTGCCAGCTGCTGGAGTCCACACTGCAAACACACACACACACACACACACACACACACACACACAGCCGGCGGTGGCCTTGGCCCTGGCCCTGCCAGAGCTGCAGCCTCTGCCGATCACTGCTTCCCAAGGGGCTGCCTGCCCGCTTGCCCCACACGGGCGCCTCGGAGAAAGGGTGAAGCCTTTGCAAGGGTCCCCACCCCCTGGTCGCCCCCACTCCCCAACTCCAGTCCTTTTCCAAACCCATCGCCCTCCTGAGGGGGGGGAGTCCGCCCCTCCCGCCAGAGCTGTCACCCAGAAGCACCAAAGCCCCCTTACCCGCTGGGAAGATGAATGCCTCGACCCTGGCAGCACTCCGCGAAAGAGGGGAGGAGGGCCCCCCGATTGGAAAAGATGGGGGCAGAGAAGGCGGCGTGGTGCGGCTGGCACCTCCGTCCCCATCCAGCCTCTGCACCACCGCAAACACCCCGCCTCGCCTCCCGCCCGCCCGCCGCGTCCTCCGCCTCCGCCCGCCGCCCCCTCCGCTCCACGCCCCGCGCCGGGTGGTCCCCGGGGCTTCACGGGATCCCCGGACCCGGGCGGCGGTGGGGGCGGCGCCCCTGTCTTATCCCCCACCCCCCTGCGCGTCCCCTCCCAGCCTCACCCCCACCGGCGGAGGGGTGCCCTCCGGTCCCAGCCGGGCTCCGCCGCCTCCCCGGCCCCGGCCCCAACCCCGGCGCCGGGACCGGAGGAATGCGCTCACCTCCGCCCGGCCCGGCCCAGCCGGCGCCGCCTCGGGCTTCGGCCGCGGGGCCCGCGCGTGAGTGTGAGTGTGAGTGTGCGTGTGAGTGTGAGTGTGAGTGCGCGTGAGTGTGAGTGCGCGCGGGTGCGGGTGCGCGGCGCCCGGCGGGCTCGGCGCGTGGCGTGTGTCTGTGGCGGGGCCCGCGCGTGTGCGTGCGCGTGTGTGTGTGTGTGTGTGTGTGTGTGTGTGTCTGGGCGATCGGGTGCGCGCAGACACCGCCGCCGCCGCCCCCGCCCCCGCCGCTGCTCCGCCGGCCGCCTCCGGAGGGGCCCGGGCCGCCGTCTGTCTGTCTGTCCGTCCGCCCACGCCGCCTGGCGCCCGTTCCCTCCGCAGGCCTCTCCGCAGCCAGACCCCCGCCCCCCTCCCCGCCGGATCCCTCCACGGACACGCACCCGCCGCCGGCGCCGCGCCTGGCTCCGCGCTGCAGCTGCAGGGCCCGGGGAGGCGGCGGCCCCAGGACCGCAGAGCCGGGGCGCTGGCCGGGCGTGTCCCCCCTCCACCCCGCCCGGCCCCCCCTCCTACCCCTCCACCCTCCCCCAGTCCCCGGCCCGCTCACCCCGCTCACCCCTCCGGGTCCAGCCTCCGCGGTCTGTCGCGAGCGCATTCAACAGCTGGAGGCAAACTTGCTGCGGGGCGGGCCGCCCTGGTGCACAGCGCCCCCCAGCGCCCTCCAGCGAACGCCCGCACCCCCTGGCTCCGTCTCCCTGGGCGGACCCCCCTCCCCACACCTGCTGACCCTGACCCCAGCCGCCTGCATCCTGCGCTCAGCCGCGGACAAG